CACTACAGGACATTAACAGAGTGGTCCTGAAGCCACTACAGGACATTAACAGAGTGGTCCTGAAGCCACTACAGGACATTAACAGAGTGGTCCTGAAACCACTACAAGACATTCACAGAGTGGTCCTGAAGCCACTACAGGACATTAACAGAGTGGTCCTGAAGACACTACAGGACATTAACAGAGTGGTCCTGAAACCATTACAAGACATTCACAGAGTGGTCCTGAAGCCACTCCAGGACATTCACAGAGGGGTCCTGAAGCCACTACAGGACATTCACAGAGGGGTCCTGAAGCCACTCCTTTGAGGTCTTGGACATGTGCTTTATGTCGTTGTCGTTCTGAAAAATGAACTGTCACTCCATTCTGAGGTCAAGGGCTCTCTGGAGCAGGTTTTCATTCAGGATGTCTCTGTACATTGCTGCATTCATCTTTATCTCTATCCTCTGCCTGTTCCTGCTGCTGAAAAACATCCCCACAGCATGATGCTGTCACCACCATGCTTCACTGTAGGGATGGTGTTGGACTGGTGATGTGTGGTGCCTGGTTTCCTTCAAACATGACACCTGGCATTCACACCACAAAGAGTTCAGTGTTTGTCTCATCAGGCCAGAGAATTTAGTTTCTCATGAACTCTGAGTCCTTCAGGTGCCTTTTGTCAAACTCCAGACGGGCTGCCAGGCGCCTTTAATTAAGGAGAGGCTTCTGTTTGGCCACTCAACCATACAGGCCTGATTGGTGGATTGCTGCAGAGGTGGCTGTCCTTCTGGAAGGTTCTCCTCTCTCCACAGAGGAACGCTGGAGCTCTGACAGGGACCATTGGGTTCTTGGTCACCTCCCTGACTAAGGTCCTTCTCCTCTAATTGCTCAGTTTAGACAGCTAGCCAGCTCTAGAAACAACCCTGGTGGTTCCAAACTTATTCCATTCATGATAGAGGCCACTGTGTTCACTGGGTTTTTGGTCACCTTCCTGACTAAGGCCATTCTTCCCCAATCGCTCAGTTTAGACGGCCGGCCAGCTCTAGGAAGAGTCCTGGTGGTTCCAAACTTCTCCCATTTATGAATGATGGAGGCCACTATGCTCACTGGGACCTTCACAGCAACAGAAATGTGTCTGTATCCTTCCCCATATTTGTGCCTCAACACAATCCTGTCTTGGAGGTCTACAGACAGATCCTTTGACTTCATGCTTTGTGTTTGCGCTCTGACACCATCAACTGTGAGACCTTCAATAGACAGGTGTGTGTGTGTGTGTTGTTCCAACTCAAGTCCAGTCAACTGAATTTACCACAGTTGGACTCCATATAAGGTGTAGAAACATCTCAAGGACGATCAGTGAAAACAGTATCTGAACTCAGTTTTGACCATTTATGTAGTGAGCTAGCTGTTAGCTTCACTATTAGCTTCATGGCAATGGCTGTGAATACTTACACAAATTTGATTTCTTAGTTTTCTATTTTTAATAAATTTACAAAAATGTCAAAAAAAACTTTTTTCACATTGTCATACTCACTCTACTGTGAGTAGAATTTTGAGGAAAGAAATTAATTAATACAATTTGGATTGGAATAAGGCTGTAACATAACAAAATGTGGAAAAAGTGAAGTGCTGTGGATGCTTTCTGGATTTATAGAAAATATGCATACTATCATTTTCAAAGATAGATAAATGTGCTGTCCTCGACTGTTTTCAGGGATGATTTCTTCTAACAACAAGGCTCAAACTAACCTGAACTTGAGAAGACCAGTGCGTCCGTTTGTGGTGTCCTCTTCAGGAAACAGGAGCAGAGGCGGAGTGCCATCAGTAGAGCAGTACCTCTGGAGAGACTCTCCTACTGCTTCTTGCATGGATGTTGAATGGATCTCCATAAAGCCTCTTGCCCAACACACGAAGCCTGTGGAACCCTCTAAGTGGGGCTAATGAGAAGAAAGCACAACACAAGCACATTTAAAACTGCATTTCATCTTTAAAACACAAGCAGCAGAAGCAGCAGACAGAAATGAAAGCAAAGACTACCGGTGGTAATTTTATTTACTTAAGGTACTCATGGTAGCAAAACCTTTTAGAGTTCTACATGAAACCTGAAAACCTAAATTTATATCTGAAAATTATTAGAGCACGTCAGATTTTAAATACTTTCATGCACCATTGAACATGTGTTCTTCTGAAAACAAATACCATTATCTGCAACCAAACATGTTTTAATGGAAAACATGGAGTCCGTTCAGTTTTATTAAAGTGAGCATTCACTGTAGCTCACATAAAATAATAACATGAAAATGATATCAAAAGTAAAAAGGATTCAAAGACTAAAGACACCTGTACATATAACTAACTGGAATGATTAATTTCAACACCTCTTGAAGTATATTTTTAAACTTTTGAGCAGTGTGTCAAGAGTAGTCAACTACATTAACTAAAGGGACTACATTTTCAAAGCAGCCTATGTTGGAGGCCAGTCATCTTTTGTTGATAATTATAGCTGCTCTGGTCAACAGCTAACAAACCTGCAGAGAATCCTCCTTTATTTCAAAACGATTTCACAGAAAACTGGCTTTACAGCAGCCACTGGAAGCACTGCTGGTGTTGGTGACAATTTGCTAACGGCATTCAAAGAAGAGCTGCCAAAATATTTGCAAAGGTTCTCAGTTTTCTTGTGTGAGTCTCACGCTTCTAGGGCTGAATACCGAACAGAAGTTCTTTTAAGGTACAGACCAAAATGTGTCGGACGGTGTATGGATCGAAACATGACTCTTCTTTTGGTGTCAAGTTTCGGTGATTGGATATAACGTGACACGTGGTTTCAGCACGCCGGCAGGTAAAACACAGACATATGGCAAACAGACTACATGTTTACAGCTACAGCTGTACAGAGCTGCTGTATAGCTGTATGTCTATGACGCTGGTTACGTCCACAGATGTGGTTCACGTGTGCAGCGTGTGTTGTCGAACAGCTTCAGTTTACGAGCAGAAACTTGCTCTGTGTTTGTCTGCAAGGAGAGAGGAGCGCAGCCTCCTCCTCTCAGCGTTAAAGTCAGCCTGTGGGTGTTGGAGCCTGAACGGCCTGATTCAACATCTCCACGACCGGACTCTGCTTCATCTGAGGACGGCTCTGTGTCTGGGATTTCAGCTGGTGAGTTTACGTTTGTTAACGTTACTGCAGCTTAACATGTGCATTGTGGTGCGTTAAACTAGGATCCATGTAACGCTAACTTTAAGTTATTAGTGTGGAGCTTTATTTTATAGTTATGTAGCTAGATAAAATCAGAAGCTAACTAAAGATTGTCAGTAAGATAAAGCTTGTAAAAATGTGCTCATCCATGAGGTCAGCTGGTTAAACAGTTCACCTGATGCTCGCTGTTTCTACTCACAGGAGGTTCTGACCCTGATGTGAGGACAGACAGACAAAAGAAAAGGGAGGTGGGGGCCACAGGACAATCTGACTTTGTTGTTAACGTTTTCTGCATTTTCCTACAGTGGAGGCTGCATGGTGGAGGTAAGTAAACTGTAAAGGATGTTGTTGACCAGTTAAGCTTTTATCTCTCAGCCTAGATAATGTTTTTTTTAACAATAATAACAACCATGTTATTGTTGATGTTTTGTTCTCATGTCAATTAGGGAGATGATCAGAGCCCTAAACCCCAGAGAACCACAGAGAAGATTCAGGCAGAGACAAAGAGGTGCAGATGTCTGCATCATCCATAACCTCAGTGACTCCAGTGACCTGCTGGTGGGAAGTGAGGGACAATATGTCAGTGCTGTCAAACTGACATCCAGGTATCTGTGTGTGCAACAATCAACATCTACAGCCTCAGAGTGAACATGTTCTACTGCTGGAGACACCATCAGCCAGGAGCAGCTTGTTTGTGTCCAGAGAAAACAGACATGATGATGTTTCTGAAAAAAAACTGTTCAGTGAAAAGGTCCTCAGTGTGTAGCAGTGAGCATTAGACACTGACGTGTCACTGGTTTGAAACTGGTCTTTGAACTGGAAATTATTTGTTTATTTTTATGCAAGAAAAATGCTTGGAGTAGAAATACCAAAGTAAAAATAATAGAACTCGAGATTTGTACTGTAATGTGTAACGTCATTTTATTCTTGTTAGAATTAATAGTAATTACAAAATTGGTACCGAAAAAAGAACCGTCCAGGAACCGACACCCAAGTGAAGGTACTGACACCGGTACAGATTCTTTTAGAAAGGTACCCAGCCCTACACGCTTCGCTCTTGTGTTGAAGGTTTTAAAAGCTTGTGACAAATTTTCGCACATTTTTGTTATCACAAATTTCTTGTGATGTTTTTAAGTGATGAACAATCGTTCTTGGGGTTTTCTAGGGACTGACTGTTTCAAAGGTTGATCTGAACCAGAGGTCCATCCATCCTGGTCCTGGAGGGCCACTATCCTGCAGGTTTTACGTGTTTCCCTGCTCCAGCACACCTGATTCAAGGCTGAAAAACCTCTTCATGTTCTGCACAAGCCTGAGCAGAGAAACTTCTAAAACATGCAGGACAGTGATCCTCTCTGGAGGACCAGTATTGGACACCCCGATATAAAACATTTTCATCTAAATATTTTAATGTACGAGTTCAACTAGTGAAAGAAAAACCTTTGAATCCTTTAAAGCAGAGGTAAAAAAAAGTTTAAATATTTTTTTTTAAAACCTCCCTGGACCCACACGGGTCTGCAAAATAAATTATCACAGTAGTTATGTCATATCATTTTAAAAAGTTCATAAATACACGTGGGGACAAATGCGCCAGCAAAACAAACACAATCAAAATAAGAGTAATATAAATAATCCATGGCATTTAGGGATTAAAATTCTAGTAAATTATTTTTATTCAGCATGAAGTTTATGTGCGAGTCCTTGGATGTTTTCCTCCGCTGTAAAGGGTCCACAGACTAGACCTAAAGTTTGCGAGGCCCTGTTTAAGGTTTTTAGACATTTTGTGTCTGAACGTCAACGTAGCCAAAAAATTATAATTTATTAGTCAAGCGTATTTTTGCTGGCATCTTCTTCCAATTTAACTAAATATGTTGTTTAAGTCAATTATAGTGTAACCAGCTCCACCTCACTGATTGAAAGGCAGATAAAGGAGCAGGTGTGGCCTGGTCAGAAATGTTTGTCAGAGCTCTGATTGTGCTTCTGCTGTTGGATGTGTGGAAGAAATCACACATTTAACATGGTCTGGTGGTTTAAAAACTGGATACAGGTGTCTCTCCTGGTGATGGGTCGATGAGGCGTCATGAAGCCTTTCAACACATTACCAAACCGTGTCACTGCACACGGACACCTGCTGGAACTTAAACATCCCTACAGGCACAGACTCAACGGACACTGATTTAATGACCTTCTACATACAATAATGATTTAAGTCATTGTATTTTATAATATTTCATATTTTCATTTAAATGTAAAATATCTGATATTTTTAGACACAGTCAATACATAATGTGAACATGTATCATAACATGAAAACATAAGTGAACGTGTTGTGAATGAGGATGTTTGTGGACTGGGATTGGTTTTTTTAAACACATTTTTATTCTAAAAAACAAGTTTGTCTGGCAGTCCTTCAGGATGAAATTCAGCAGAGCCTCATCCAGCATCTGCTTCCTGGAAGTTTGATGGTTAGAAATGAGATAAAGAATAAATTAATAGGAATTAATTATCAATAAATCAACTGTGAGTAAGTTGTAGAATGGTTGTATACCTGAGTTTATCCTGGATGTATCTGGGACTGCATTCTCATGCCGGGCCCGATAATGCAGTGATCTACTATTTATTTATTTATTTATTTATTTATCCCAAAAGAGCCATATTGACAGATCAAAGTCAAGGGGAGAGCTGCGATATCACTCAAATAAAAAAATAGAACACCCCACCTATGAAGATAAAAGAAACCCAGCCAGCACATTATCTGTTGAAACTAAATGTACCTCGGTCCTGAGATGAGAAGCTGTGGAGCATGTCCTTCACCTTCTTCATGTTGTGTTTGTAATCAGACATTCAACATGAGCATGGGTCAGTGGGTTTTTCTGTTTTTGCTTCAAAGTGTTCGTGGTTGAAAATGTTGACTCAGGTGTAAACATTCAGTTTTATTACCCCAGTCCCATGAAGAAAACAAGTCAGCAATAACAATGAAACCAAAGTCCATGCTCAACAATGAATGTGCTGTAATATGTGTACGAATGAAGATGCCCCCTTCACATTTCTGCCTGCCCCCTCAGGTAACCATGTCTAGAACCGGCCCTGTCATTCTGCTGCTTCTTATTCTGCTGCTATATTTTTATTCCATGTGCTGTAAATATATCTTGCTACTTTTTATTTGATGATGTGATGTTTTTGTTAAGCATTTTGGTAACAGTTTCTGTTTTAAATGTGCTCTATAAATAAATCTGACTTGACTTCCTTCACTACAGATGACAGAAGGTGCGGAGACGTGCGCGGCCGGTGATCAGCTGATCCATCTGAGGTTAACAGGACTTTTTTTTTTTACCTCTACATCCGGTTTGACCTGCCTCCTCCTCAACAAGTAGATTAACACAATTTTATATCGTGCGTTAGGTTCTCTTTGCACTGTACGATTCATGAAGCCCGAGCCGACATGCACAATTATTGCGTAATGAGCCAGCACGTTTTAAAAACGTACTGGCTGTGCTGGTGTGTTGTTGTAACCAGTCACAGAACCACCATTAAGCATGGCGAGCTGCATGTTGCTCGGGAGCTGCGCAGTGTGTCTCAGCATTGAGGAGGTGGATTTATTTAAATATAAAGTAAATGCAACATTTAACCTGCAGGAAATAATATGAATAGTAAACGTTGGTTACGTACTGTAACCCCAGATTCTATGAGTATAAGTGTAGCTCTTTAAGGCCTTCGCTTAGTGTGTTTATCCCGTTATGCGTAGCA